ACATAAAAATGTTTCTTCTAGAAAAATGCAAAATATTAATGATAAATCGAGCGAAAAAAAGTTTTGTGAGCTTTAGGAATTAAAGAATAAAGTCAACGGTTTAATTTTGTCGGTAGGTACTTGTAAGGTTAAAAGATAAAAAAGCTCTCATCAATCCAATGTAATAATTAAATCAATGTCAAATCCAAATAATAATAATAATTTATTTTTAAATTAAGTAAATAAGTATGTATACGTAATTAGGTATAAGTTCATAAATAATAATAAAGGGTGTTTGAAAATTGTAAAATATTTCAGGAGGTAATAGCATGAACAAAAACAAACAAAAAAGTCTTAATAAACATGGGTAACAGTTTCAAGATATTGAACATTATTTATTTTTTTAAACATTTATTTACAATCTGTTCAAACTAGTACAAATTTAAAAATTTTTCTCATTCTATATCTCGGAAACCGTTAGTTTGCGAACCCATGTTTATTAAGACTTTTTCGTTTATTTTACTAATACCACCTTAAATATTTTAAAATATTTTTTTAATACCCTTTATTTGCAGTCTTCCATTATTTTTTTTGATATATCAAAATGCTAAATTTCATAACAAACTATTCTAAATCTAATAAAGGATTTTTTTCTATAGCAGATGTTAAACTATTTCTTTATCAACTCTTTTGAATAGATAAAGTGGCACTTTAACCGCAAGGGTAGATAAAGTAACACTTTAACAGCAAGGGTAAATAAAATGATTTAACTTATTTTATTCTTCGACACTGTCAAAATTTACGGTTTTTCTCCCGTGTAAGGAAGTTTTGACAACTGTTTGGCATTTCTCAATAAGAAACGTCAGATTATTTTTAACAGATTTAAAGCAAGTTTAAGCCTTATTGAGTCTAATTCGAAGAATAAAATGTTGTATTCAACTCGTTTGAGTGTAAATCGGACGCTTTATTCCACCTTGTGAATGATAAACCACTCGATACACTCGTGGTTTAATAACCCACTCAGTGAAATAATCCGTCCGATTTACACTAAAACTCGTCGAATAAATAACTATTATTCATTTAAATTTACAAATTTTATTATCCACGAGGTGGAATAAAGCGTCCGATTTACACTCAAAGGAGTTGAATACAACATTTTATTCTTCGAATTAGACTCAACAAGGCTTCAACTTGCTTTAAATCTGTTAAAAATAATCTGACGTTTCGTATTGAGAAATGGCAAAAATTGTCATTTTTTTGAAATGTTATTTTTTTCTCTTAAACTCCCTTAAACTGTTAGTCCTGCTATAGAAAAAAATGTTGTATTATACACGACGATAAAGATTGTTTATCTACTCGTGAAATAAGTTCACTCGTGACTTCGTCAAACAATCGCTTTATCGTCTTGTATAATAAATAACTATTATAAAAAAAAATACGATCAGCAAAGATGATAAAACAAATCAATATTTTTTAATAACAAAAATATGTTTGCCTAACACCTATGATATCTTTGGTAAACTTCTTGCACACTTCACACATGAATTTTGAAGCAAGTATTTATAATATAATCTCCAATATTTTTAAAAGCGTTTTCTGTGGCAAACTTCCTTCGTTTACTCAGTAAAAGCTGTGACATTCTCGTTGGTTTGTTCTGAGAAATCTGAGAGGTCAGGTATTTTTTTTTTCAAAATACTCACAACAATTCATTTCATCGGTATGTAAACAATTGAGTCCTGATTTAGTCATCTCGTAAAAAGAAATTTCAAATCGTATTTAACCTTTAGCTGTACAAACAATTAAAGTAACGAATAAATGCCATTAATTTACTAGATATTTGTTAAACAACATTTTCTCTAAGGGACGTAGGCTCAGTTTATAGAAGCAATCAAACGTCAGATTAACTGATCACGATTGCGCATTAACTTTTAACAAGGGATTAATTTTTAATTCGTGTTTTACAATCCGACCCGTAATGTTCTTGTAATGCAATGGTTTATTACAAAGTTCAAGTTTCAAGTATTAAAAAATCAAACAAACTTGTAAAATCGGGAAATAAATTTCATCGTTGCAATGGCATTTTACGGTAGACAATTTAAATGTTATATAAGCCTTCGCTACAATTGTACTTAAAATTTGTGTAGTTAACCTCTGCAGCTAGTTTCTCAATATAAAAAGTAATAAATTAGAAATAAAAAAATTAAACTTACAGCATCCCTGAGATCATTCGCCACATTGATAAAACTGTTAATAAGATTTGGCTTCTGAAAGCTTCTACCAACTGCTTGATTGTATTCCATAATTTTACAGGCATAAAGTGTCTCTGCCACTCCTAGATTGGGCGTAATAGACATAGGCCTCTCCATAAAAACTGTTGAATACTTCCCGATTTCTATGAAAGCACCGGATGGCCCAACCATCGAATTTAAAATTTTTCGTTTTTCCTGCTTCCATTCTCCAGTTTGATGTTCCCAAGAGCAATCAGAAATTGTTTTCATACACTAAAACAAGTAACTATTACATGTAAACCCCTTAACGTCTACTTATTACTTACTTTATTAAAACCATTTTCAAAAACACTCAAAATACAGTTTTGAATTTCATTTTCCAGAATTCCAACTGCATTAACGTCCTCGACCGGTTCAATAGATTCAAATGTACGTTTTGTACTAATTGATTCCAATTTTTGTATTATTTTTGGTAAATCAACGCCTTTTGATCCTAACAATAAATTTCTAAAATTTATCACATTTACGGTATATTTAACAACACTAACTAAACCATAAACATACGCTTGAATGTCCTTTGCCCCAGTTTGGGCTACTTTTGAATATAAATCGTTAGAAGCTTCCAAGACTTGTCGAATGGATCTATCAACTTTTGGCAGTTCTTTACTTCCTTCAATATCAACAGTTATTTTTTCAGCCTCTTGAAGGAGGTCAGCAAAATCACCCATGTTGGTGGTTCTAAAAATTTTGTGAAAAATAAATACCCAAACGCCTAATTAGACATAAAAATATTTTGTAAAAGTGAGGTTAGAATTACAATATACCCGTCAAGAAAATATAAAGTTAGAGCATTTTTAAAGCAAGATGCAATTCATTGTTCAAAACTTACTTGGATGTGTTAACACACTCAATTTAGTACGTATTCTCATAAACTCTTGAAATCCTTTGAAAGAAATGCCGCTTATAATGGAATTAACGGATGAAAAACGATAAATGTGCAATGACTGCAATGTGCATAGGCAACCCAAAATACACGGTTTCAGTTTCAGAGCTTTTTGTTGAAGTACTGAAATATTATGTGCCTTTATTGGCACAGTTAGGTATTTTTGTTTTGTAGTTTATAACAAATGTGTTTTATTTATAAATTTAATTTCCTTACAAAATATTTTATTTTATAGATTAACTTTGTGATCGTTTTATAATAATAATCCTTGTAACATGAAATAATGTCGATATCGTGCTGAAAAGCACTTTGAAAAGCTGTTCCAGCTTTATCGATAATTCGTCCAGATTGCAAGGTAATGCGTGGGTGAAGCTTCACCTGACGCTTTTTCCAGTTGCGAGTTCGTCCTTTCTATTATTAACGTCGTGCATTGTTGTAACAGAGGTCGCGAAATTGAAATGTTTCGTTAATACAATAGCAAAAGATTCTTAAAATGTGTATTGTTTCTTTATCGATTACTTGTTAAACAAGATTTATAAATAGCAGAATAAGTTATATTGTGCTGTTAATAACTGTATACCTAACTATGGTGCGCACCTGTTATGGTATAAAATGGGGATGTAGACCTTTCATTAAGAATAACCAAGCGGAATTGCAGTGTAAAAGAGTTGTAAAAAGAAGTTGTACATCTACGGATTTTTCAGCACTAGGTAAACATCTAACATATTGTTGTGTATTATAAATTAATACGGTAAAGTTTATTTGATTTTTTAAGCTGTGTAAGTGAATCACCTAATCAAAAATTAACTTGGAACACAGAGTAGGTATGTGCTGCATAGGTCGCATTGTTACTTATGATTAATTGATAAACTGTACTTCATAAAAGAAATTTAAAAAAAAATAAACAAAAAATATTTCTCTAAAAAATACAACAAAATTGCTGATTTACATAATTAAAATAATATTGACTTCCATTCGAGGTCTGTTATTGGAAGTTGCTATTGCTAAGAGTACTGTGTATTTATAAGCTACTTCATATTTAGGAAGTCTCATTTTATTACTCCTTGTTGGTTGATGTAACTTTAATATGCAAACAGTCTTAATCTAAAAATGAAAACATAACTTAACTTAATACATTTCTTTCTTTCTTTCTTTATTTTTTCTCCACAAACAAACAGAAAATATTATGTTCTTTAAACTAAACCAGTATAATTATTTAATTTTAAAATACCAAAAAGTACCTTTTATAAACACAAGGTCTCCCACGTTTAATATATGTTATGTGCCAACGGATTTTTATGATATTCAAAATGTAAACAACTTAAAAAGTGGAGATTCAATTAGTATTAACAAAATTACTTCAAGATAAAATAAATAATTTTAACACATACTTTCTCAATTTAAAATTAAGCGAAACTACTATTATATGGTTAAGCACTAAAAATAGACCTCTACACAAAAAATTAACTACATCACTGGTCTGAATCAGCAGAAATACGTCGATTATGTTGTTAAAATTTTTAAATTTTTGAAAGAAGTTAACTCTAAAACGTCTTTAAGTAACATTTTGTACATACAACCTTGAAAACCTGTGGTAAATTAAGTTAGAACACCTTTAGAAGTTTTAGAACCATTGATGCCAATAGTGGTATGTATGATGTACACTCAGAAAAGTTGAAAATGACGTGTCCATAAACCGACCCTCATTATTTGGGTCCTCCTACCTAACCGCAGTTATAAATCATCTGCGAGAGGAAAGTAATAAAAATGCTTTTGCATTTAGCCTCAACATTTCTTTTTAGTAAATCTTGTCATGGGATTTTATTTCATTAATAATAATTATTATAATTAAGGGTGTGTAAAATATGTCATACGGTGTGTTATACTAAAACGAGCAAATTTGTAACTTTAAAACGTCATTATTCTGTCTCAGTGGAAAGAAAAGTAAATTTTCTCTTACTTTTGGGATTTTTTTCTGCTTTTTAAATTTTATCACAATGGCGGTTTTATTTTTTCGACAAAAATGTAACTTTGATAATTAATTAATTATTGTAACCGGTATTAGCGGCAAAACACTTTTAATTGGGATTCACTACTTCTACGAATCGTAAATTAGTTTTGAAATTCCTACTTCCCGTTCATTTATAAAAGTTGATAATGAATTAGAACTGTGGAAGGGTAAATTGTTGATATAATTTCGTTAGAATCCGTTTACAAATAACAGAGATACCTATTAGACCCAAAAGTTTTAGATAGGACACCCTGTAGAAATATTTATTTAATGTATACAGGGTGTGTCAGAACTCGCGTCCCAGAGAAAAATTTTATGTAAGATAAGTTACCAGGAACATGAAAAAAAAATCTAAATTTTGACATTTGACATTTTATATGTCTATTTAATGATACTGATGATCTTGTATAGGTATGTCTTTCTTTATAATTATCTAGTAAAGGTACAAAAATTTTGCCAATAAAAGCTCCAAATAACATTAAACAAAGTTACAATTTAGTATATAGGTTCCTTGTTTCCTTTTCCTCTCTTATAATTCTTATAACTTTATAGATAGCATTTGAACATTTTTGCCATGTTCCTGGTATTTTACCTTACAATGGCATTTTTCTCTGGGGCGTGAGTTCTGGCGCACCTGTATTACTTTGCTTTTAAAAACAACTGCTTAAAAATTTTTGCGATCTCAATGTTAATGGAAAGTGAACATAACCACATATCACATCAGTTATTAAGTTTTAATTTCGTCCCAAGCCCGGACCTGAAAACGTGTTAGGATGTTGTAGCTATAGCAACGCCGACTAGAACGCTGCTGAAAGATCAGTAAGCGCAGACATTTCAGCATCTACCGCGATCCTGAAAAGAACAGCCACGAGCTTTTTCGGTTATCGCGCTTATCGTAATAAATAATTTTTTTGTTACACAACGATAACAATGATTTTATTTCTTAGTGATAAAATAAACTTACAATTAAACAATTTAAAGCAACCTTGTTGACAGTAGTAGTGCATGATGGTTAGATTTAATAAAAAGGATCTGCCAGAAAAAGAAAAATTATTGAAAGGAATGGCAGATTTTGATGAGGACACGACGATTATTAAACCGATTACTAAGGGTGAGTGATCCGAATTTAAGTACATACATTTATATGAGAAACACAAATTACTAATGTGTTGAAGAGTTTTCATTCACTGCCATTTATTATTGCACAATTTAAAATTTTTAATAATTTTAATTATTTATTAAAATATTATTTACATGCCATTACAGTAAGTTTTGATGCAAAATTTTATAATTGGTGCAAGAGCCGGGAAAGTCCACTTTTTGAAATTGTTGGTAAAATGAAAAAAAACTTTTTATATGAAAACAATAAGTTTACAAAAGTGAAATATTCGACCAATTTTATGTAATATACGGTGAATAAAAAGTATGGAACCACACGTTTTTTGCTTAAGCTATTTATTTTTTGAAAAAACTAATTGATGAGTGATAAAGTACTATAAAAATGTGATGATTTAAGAAGAATAAAATTTTTCGAAATTTCCTTTTGTTATGAGTTCTACAAAAAAAAAATATTTTTTTAAATGACAACCCACTATAAAATCATTTTTCTCGTAAAAGCTATATTCTAAGCATTACAACTACATATTTGCTTTATATTTAATTTTTTCAAATAAAAATTTTCACATAAATTGCAATCGCATAACTCAAAAACAAAACAAAATTTCGTTCTGAAAATACGATCACTTTTTTAATATTACTTTAATTTATATTAATTATTATTTTTTGGAGGCAAATGATTAAAAATAAAACCGGTTGGTTCCATACTTTATATTCACCCTGTATATGTAGATCACTTTGTATTACAGTCAATGATATATTTTCAAAATTATTTGAAATTTTTTTGTGAAAAATAGACTTGCCCGGTTCTTGCATCAAGGTCTTCAATTATTATGGTTAAGTCTGAATTTAGATTTACCGGTTTAGTAATATACGAGTACATCGCTACAAATAACCTGCCAACCACTTTGAAGTTTTAAATGGTTAATAAAGTTTGACGTAACTAGGTATAATATCTAAAAGCATGTTTAAATATTGTCAAACGTCATACATATGAACGTCATTGACGTTTTACTTATTGATTTGAAAGTTTTTTTTTTAACATTACGCATGCATGCTTTAATCTCCTTTACTAATTAAACATGAATTAATATTAAATTTATATTTTTGAAAAGCTAAATCTCTTTAAGGAAAAGTAGTAAGTACAAAATTTTTTTTTCAACTAATTCAGTACAGTTACTGTTACGGAATTAAAATTTCGGGCAGTATTTTTCTGTCACTTCAAAAAGTTCACTGTAAACCTTTTACTGTCATCATGACATTCATGACTGACATTTGACAATTAAACTTTTCTGTCAGTGACGCTATTTTTTAAGTCAAAATGACATAAACATTACAAGAGTAAAAAATGAGGTTATTAATGTAAAGGTTATTTTAGAGTTTACATTGTGAAAATGACAATATTGCCCGAAATTTTAATTCCGCAACTGTACAACATATTTATAGTTTTAAAAACCAACCCAACGATGGTTTTCTTTTAAATTACGACGTTGATGCCTATCACAAAACAAAAATTTATATTACTATTGGAGACAATGGGCCGTTTGAATAAAGTTGATGTATTTACTTAAAGCATGTGTATAAAGTAAAAGCAAATAATTGAAGTAAAAAGTAAAAGCATTTGATAAGTATGAATAAGCTCTTGCTTTTACTTCGAAGTAAATGTTTTAATTTTCGAAGAATATGCTCTAAAAATAAATCAACCTAGTAGGCTCTAGTAAGATAGGATTTTTTGGTGTGCGAAAAGGAGTTATAAGCCAAGGTACTAAGCCATATCCACTATCTCCTAACAAAATGGCGTTATAGTTTTTTCTACTAAAAAGTTCTCGAATTTGTGAATTTCTCCATATTCGGGAATTATAAACTAAACCTGGCCATAAAGCATCAATACTAGTAAACATTTCCTTGGCATCACGTGTTGAGTGCACATTTAAACTATAAACTATAATAAAGTTTTTCCTATTTATGTGTTCATTCGCATCTAAAGAAGGTCTCAAAATTCGGACGTGTGTACAATGTAGCTCCAATTGCAGTTGAGAAGTGATGTTTGGTATGCCATTGTTGTTAAATCTCATTAATAGAAATATTTCTCAAAAGAAAATGAATCAATTCTCTCATCAGCTTTTTCTAAAATCCTATTCATCACTTCAGATATAGTTTTAGAAACTGTGCTTTGATGAACTGCCAGTTCTTCTCCAATTCCTGTTTGGAATCCAGGATCTGCCAAGTACCGGACGAATATTCTCATTTTTTGTTCGTATGACAGGACACCTCTTCGCGTTTCGTTGTTCTCAGACAAAAAATACCTATCCAAAGCATGAAGATTTTCTCGTTCAAACCGATATAAGGTTTTGATATCTTTCCCCAAGGGTTCGCGGCGTTATTTGTACGTTTTTCTTACCCTTAGTTGCACAACATCCACTATCGTTACGACTTTGATGTGTTACTTCTAAAGTAAAAAAAAGTGATGCTCGTACTAATTAGGATCAACAATTTTGAAATAAATCCTCAATGAAAAAAGCATTTACTTTGTTTTATTCATTTTGTTTTGACTAGTTTTGAGTAAAACCTCGACGCTGAAGC